TTATTTATTTATTTATTTATTTATGTATGGCCATACTTGTGCCATGGGCCCACGTGGAGGTTAGAGGACAACTTGTAAGAGTCAGTTCTTGCCTTCCACTCTGTGGGTCCTAGAAATCCAACTCAGTTGCTCAGGCCTGGTGACAAGCACCTTTACCCACTGAGCCATCTCACTGGGCCTGTGTATATTTATCCTTCAGATTCGAGACATTAGAAAGACTTCTGCACAAAGCTGTTCTTTTTCATTGCAGTGTAATTTAGTCAAAATCTGTTCTAGGGAAATGAGTTCTCTTGGGTGTCTCTGTCCTTTCCTTCTAGTCAGAATTCCAGGTGCTCCCCAGTTGGCCACTTGCTGCTTCCTCATGTGAATCTTTCACTCAGAGCCCCTCCACCCGCAGCTTTCTGTCTGGCTGTCATTTACTTTATTGGACTGTTCATCCCGTTTTCCCCACTCCTCTTTCTGACCCCATTCTTTGAATCTTGTTCTTTAAAGATCAGTATTTTAGTCATTTCCCTTTGCCATATTTCATGGGCATGTTTTCTCGAACATTGGGGAATGTGTAGGATTTTGTATCAGAAGCTCATAGGCTTGTGAGGTTGCACTTTGTGTAAAGTTCAGGGAGTAGGTGCTTCGTTCTGTACAGCTTCATCGACACTATAAACAAGGTAGTTTATAACATAGCTGTGTATCTGGCTCTTCAGAAAACATTTGTTCACTTATTAATTAACAGGAGATAATGGGGACAGGCTTTGCCTGTGCATCAGAGAGGAATCTTTGTACCCTTGGCCACATACGCTGGATCATTGCACAGAGCACCTGCAGCAGCTTCCATTTCAGCTTCTGGCTAGTCCTAAAGCCCAGGGTTCAAGTCCTGTGTCTTTATCTTAAAAACTTTACAATTTTGGGCACATTACTTAAGCCCCTTGTGCCTCTATTTCCTTAATGTAAATTGTGAGAATGCAGGATGAAGAGTTTGAGGACAGCGTGGACTACATAGCAGGAGCTGGCCTCAAAAAGCATTTTTTTTTTTTTGTCTTTTTGAGACAGGGTCTCCCCGTAGTCCCAGCTGACCTGAACGCACTATGTAGACCAGGCTGGCATTGAACTCAGAAAGATCCGCCTACCTCTGACTCCCAAGTGCTGGGACCAAAGGCGTGCGCCACCATGCCCAGCCTCAAAAAGCATTTTTATAATAATTTTAAAAATTATTTAAAAAATAAGTTTTAAGTTTTGGTGCTGTAGCTTTTCTAGATTAGTAGAGTTTCAAGAACTCCAGGCAAACTGTTGGTGGAACACATCTTCCTGGTACCTCATGAATCTGCTTGAGATGTGCTTTCTTTCATGGTCTGTTGTTTAGATGTCTCAAATTTCAATTTGGAGACAGTATCAGAAAGGATGTAGCTGGATGGTAGAATCTTGTCCCGAATATACAAAGCCCTGGGTTCGGTCCCCAAACTGTGGAATAAGTGAATGATTAAGTCCACGCAAACCAGCATTGCAGCTGTTCGTATTCCAACTTTCAAGCACCGTGCTTCCTTGTGTAATGTAGTGGTACAGCATGTGCTTAGCATGTGTATGGTCCTGGGTTCAATCCTCGAGTCCCCCCCAAACAGACAAAACAGAATTTAAAACTGCTCTGGAGCAGGGTATGGTGTCACAGACCTTTAATCCCAGTTTGGGAAGCAGAGGCAGGTAGATCTCTGTGTGATGGGGCCAGTTTGGTCTACACAGTGAGTTCCAGGCCAGCTGGGGCTGTAGGGAGCCCCTGTCTCAAAAAAACCAAACCAAACCAAGCAACCAAACAAACCAAAACCCCGAACACTGCTCTGGTTCCCTAAAGACACATTGTTCAGTGTACGCATGTAGGGCTTTTTCCCTTCTTCTTCAGTTGTTTTGAACCTAGGACATTCTAGGCAGTGCTGCTTCCCTCTCCCTTTTTTAGAGAGGGCCTCACTATGTAGCTCTGGCTGGCCCAGAACTCACTATGTAGACCAGGTTAACTTCTTGCCCTTGTCTCCCTAGTGCTGGGATTAAAGGTGTATACCACCACACCTGGCTTTTTTTTTTTTTTTGAAAAATTTAAAAAATCAAACTTGTGCTTTGGTCATCTTATATATGTCTATAATGCCTCCCTCTCATCTCCCTCCCTCCCCTGTTCACCTTGGCCTCTGTTCACCTCTTCCCTACTAATCTCTTTCCCACATTCATGCCCTTTTGTTTTGTGTCTCTCTGGGTTTGTGAGTCTCTGTGGCCTTGGACCTGTAACTATCCATTGGAGCCTGGTATGTTCACTTGTGGGTGAAGACAGTGGCTCCCCATCTCCCAGGGTTCATCAGTAGCTTATAGTTTATCAGTAAGAGGAAGGTCCCATGAGCCCCAAGAGGCGATCCATGACTGTTGAGGGAGGGCTTATCTTGTGCCAGCTCTGTGTGAGTAAGGGAATAATTTTATCTTTAACTTTAACTTGTGTTGGGAACTCTCTAGCAAAGGGCTCCCTGTTTTGGTTTTGTTTTGTTTTGTTTTGCTTTTAACTGGTATCCAATTAAGAAATACTCAGCCCTGACTAAAGGGTAGAGGAGAGATTTGATTATCAGAGTAAAGGTAGTGAAAGTCAGTCATTCTTTAGATTTGATGCCAAGATAATTGAGCAACTGGACACCAGGTTCCTGCAACTGACCTAATCAGCATGTGGACTTTTCCAGTGAGTGTGCACTTGAACTGAAAGCACAGTTTGGAAGGGGGTATGAGAGCTGGCTTCATCCCCGAGCACATCTCTGTGAAGGTTTCTTGGCTTGGGAAGGTGATGTTATTTGGCCACCATCTGAGGAAGACCTCAGTGTGGGGTTGTCCTGGATTTCTCATTTCACCACCTAAAGGTAAGGTGTTTTAGTGCTCTGGGCTCTCAGGGTGGAGAGAGCTGCTTCACACAGCAAGGGGAGAAGGAAGGGCTCTTGGGTGGCTGATAGAGGTGCTGAGTAAATATTTCAACTCTGACAGCCATGAAAATGACAAGACATTTTTGCCATTTTTTTTTAGCTAGCCTACAGAATAATGGGTTTCATTGTGACATTTTCATACTTTAAATATTATTGACTTGTTGACATCTTTTTTGTAGCTTGCCGTTCTGAAAACTTTGAAGTTTCAGTTTAATTATGAGTCAAGTGCATGTTTTAAATTGGTCTTAGAAGTGTGTTTTCATTTTAAAAGTTGAGCCCTAAGGGGCTGGAGAGAAGGCTCAGCGGTTAAGAACACTGACTATTCTTGCAGAGGACCCTGGTTCGAATTCCAGCACCCACATGGCAGCTAAGAACTTTCTATAACTCCAGTTCCAGGGGATCTGACAGCCTCTTCTGTCCTCCAAGGGCATTGCATGACACAGGTGCACTTACCTACATGCAGGCAATACAAGTATACACATAAAATAAAAATAATAAATAAAATATTTTAAAAAATTGAGCCCTAAGTGTGCAGGGTGTGTTAAAAGGGTAAAGTGTGAAAAGTGTGGGGTGGGTTCTGACTGACAGCATCTGCTCATGGGTGTGCTGGTGAACTGCAGCCTCTTAGTTTCTAAACATGGCTATTCAGATGTGTAAGTGCTAGAGAAACAGGCAAGGAAGTGGGCTAGTTTATGCAGTACTCTTATACAAAGGTGTTGAGTCATGAAAACACCTCATAAGAAGTGCCAATTTTACTTTAAAAATAGTTAAATTTGTCTTTAGATATTTTTCACATTTTTCAGACAATTTAACACATGTATACAATAATGCTATTTTTATGTTTTGTGTTTTTGAGTTAGTGTCTCAACTGTAGCCCAGGTTGGACTGGAACTCACTGTGTAGCCCAGACTGACCTCAAACTTGTGGCAGTTCTGCCATCAGTGCTGGGATTACAGGTATGAACTAAGTGTTAATTTAAAATAAAAAACAGAATCAGTACTAGGAAAATAAAACTAGGAATGTATTAGATGAAGAAATTAATTCTAGGATTTGAGTTTCAGATGTGATTCTAAGTTTCCTTGCTGCTGAAGTGAAAAACAGATGGTTTGATCTTTATTAAAGAAAAGCAAAAACAAACAAAAAACCCACCTGGTTTTCAGGCAGGCAGCAGTTATCTACCTGTAATTCCATTACTTTGGAAGTGGAGACAGAAGGAAGTTCAAGGTCATCCTTGGAGAGTTTGGGAATAGCTTGGGCTATAGGAGACCCTATTTCAAAGCAAAACCAAAAATCAAACAGCCTGGAGAGATGGCACAGTGGTTAAGAGCACCTGCTGTTCTTCTAGAGGAACCAAGGTCAGTTCCCAGCACCCTCACTGGGTGGCTTATAACCTTCTATAACTTCAACTCCAAGAGATCCCATTCCCTCTTTGGGCCTACTCGGGTACCCCCACACGTATGGCATATACTCAAATAGACCTACCCCCCCAAACACAACAAACCCAAAAAACAATACCTCCTTGGGTTTTCAGTGGCAAGACCGTACATATAGTTTCTAAATAAAGTTAACATGACTTTATATGGGGATGCTAAATGATATAATAGCCTCTGAAATTGCAGGAAAATAATAAACTTTACATGTCAGTTGCAGGAGACAGCCATTAAGAGTTTAGCAGTTTAAGAAAATAAATCTAAGAAATATTTAAGACATAGTAGGGGAAATATATCTATTTAGTTTTTTTTTTTTTTTTTTTGTGTGTGTGTGTGTGTTTTGTTGTTTGTTTTTTTTTTTTTTTTTTTTTTGAGACAGGGTCTCCCTGTAGCCCCAGCTGGCCTGGAACTCCCTATGTAGACCAGGCTGGCCTCAAACTCACAGGGATCCATCTGCCTCTGCCTCCCTGGTGCTGGGATTAAAGCCCTATGCCACCACGCTGAGCTATTTGGTTGTTTAAAAGCAGTTTCTCAACTTCAAAAACAGTTCTGAGATTCAACTTGTCTGCAATACAAACCTTGTTTAAATAGCAGCATGAATACTTTTTAAAATTGCTTCGTAGATTTAAAAAGCTGCTTGTGCATTGCTATCATTTAATCAAAATTCCTAAATGATTGAATTACTTTTCACATTTCAGTTGGTTGTTTTGATAGACTCTAGATACAATCTGCCTGAGTGCTTGGTAGGAAATTGTGTTTATGCAGTTCTCATTCCTTGGACAGGTCGGTAATTATTCTGTCATCTTAGTAAGTAGAAATGGTTTGACAGTTGATTGTGCTTTAGTTGACCTGTTGATTTGGTGTTTTTTTCTTTTGAGTCAGGGTCTAGGTAACCTGGTTTGGGCTTGAATTTTCTTTTTCTTTTTTTTAAACTGAGGGGTCTTTATTGCCCACTAGCTGCTGGAAATTTCCCAGTCACAAGCAAGGTCCTCTGAGTCTCTCTAACCCGCTCTAAGGACCTATGAGATGTTGCCATAGTCCAGCTCTTTCCTTTCCGGGGGGATCAAGGTGTTCCTGGGGCACATGATGTGGCAGAGGGCCCTCATGGGAACCGAGCAGCCTTCCTGTGGAAGACAGGAGAGGGCCCCTCTTAGCACACATTAGAGGGTCACCCCTGAAGAGGAGGGTGGAGTGGGAGGAGTTCCTAAGTGGGGCTGACACCAGTGTCCAAGAGCACAATGAGGAGGAGGATGATGAAAACGATCACACAGATGAGGACAATCATCTTCACGTTCTTCCACCAGAACTTCCGGGCAACCTTCTGCGATGTCGTCCTAAAGTGTTGAGACGTGGCTTCCAGGTCCTCTGACTTGTTGCGCAGATGATCCACGTTCTCCCCACGGGCCAGGATCTGCCACAGCCTCACTTCTTGCTTACTCCAACTTTCCTTGGGCTTGAATTTTCAATCCTCCTGTCTCCGCCCAGTACTGGGATTACGAGCACGCCATTATGGTCCCCCTCTTTTTTTTTTTTTTTTTTTTTTTTTTTTTTTTTTTTTTTTAAAAAAAAAAAAAAAAAAAAAAAAAAAAAGAGGACGATAAATCTTTCACTGTGATATATCAAAATAAATACCAGGCTGGTTGAACTCACCGAGATCCTCCTGCCTCTGCCTCCCAAGTGCTGGGACTACAGGCGTGCACCACCACGCCTGGTTTCCCTCTTTTTTTTTTTTTTAAAGAAGGGGTTCTTGCTATTTTGAACTCCTGGTCTCTAGTAGTCCCTTCCTTGGCCTCCAGAGCACCAGTTTTAGAGCAGCAATGTATTATATGCTGGTTAATTGCCTTTTGCTCCTCTCACATTTCCCCCAACTTGTCAAGAAAGTTTGACATCACTACCTGTTACCTAAATGAGACTTGTGAGTTCTTGATTTCAGTTTAGGTAGAAACTTAAACTTCCAGTTTAAGCTAAAGAAGTCAAACTTTTCTTAGAAGCTAACTCTATAAATTTTAGTCTCCTGCCTCCAAAAGGAGATGCTTTTATTATACTTTGGAAGTAAATTAAAAAAAAAAAAAGATTTATTGCACATGTGTCTGTGTGTGGGCATGTGCACATGTGGGCAGGTGCATGTGAGTGCAGGTGCCTGTGGGGGGGGTCCCTTGGAACTGGAGCTGCACTTGGGTCCTCTGGAAGAGCATTAAGAGTGCTTAAGCACTGAGCCATCTCTCTAGCTCTAGAGATAAACTTTTAATCAGGCAGGATAGTGTTCATGGGCTAATAATCCTTATATTTCCAAGTATTTTTTCTTTTGCAACAGGGTCTCTCTCTATAGCCCTGGCTGGCCTAGAACTCATTGTATAGACCAGGCTGGCCTTGATCTTCCTGATCAAGCCTGCCTTTGCTTCCCTGGTGCTGGGACTAGAGGGATGAGCTACCACTTCTGGCCTAAGAAAGATTTTTAAAAATTTATTTTTATTTTATATATCTGAATGTTCTGCCTGCATGTATGTAAGTGTACCACATGTGTGAAATGCCCCAATAAGACAAAAGAGGGGGTCAGATTGGTGTTATAGGTGGTTGTGGGCCACCGTTGTGTGCTGGGAATCTAACCCCAGGTCTTCTGCAAGAGCAGCAAATGCTCTTAACCTCTGAACCATCTCTTCTGCCCTTATTTCCAAGTATTTAAATTAAAAATATATATAATTAATTTTTTTGAGATTTTATACCTAATATTGTATTTGCATTATTTCCATTCATCCCAGTCCTCCTCAAGCTCCTACCATGCCCATGACTCTCACAGTTTCTTTTCCTCTTCTTTGATTATTATTGTTATATAATCATTTATAAATATACATACACACATACACACCCCCCCCCATACACACATATGTAATGCACCGAGTACATTTAGTGGTCCTCATGTGTTCTTCTTGTGTTTAGGGCTGCCCACTTGGGATTAGATAACCTCTCAGGGAGCTAGTCCCTGGAGAAAATTTATAGGATAAAGTATGTAAATTACTGTAACTTACCTGTTTTTACCAATTTGAGACTTATACCTCATAAAGTTCACAGAACTGTTGCTGACTGAACTCACTGTCATTCTTTAGAATGACAGCTGGGCGTGGTGGTGCACACCTTTAATTCCAGCATCCAGGAGGCAGATGCAGGTGGATCTCATCTGGGTCAGCCTGGTCTACATAGTGAAGAACCAGCGGGGGCTACAGGGAGACCTTGTCTCAAAAAGACCAAAAGAAAAAAAGAAAATAGTGAAAACAGCTGGGGTAGTATCTCAGTGGTGGAGTGCTTACATGACTTGTGGAAAGCCAAGGTTCAATCCACAGTAAAACAAAACAAAAACACTTAGATTAATTATGATGCCTAATATGAGTGTTGTGAAAAGAATTATTATGCTTATACTATATTGTTTAGGAAATGATGACAAGAAAAACCAGTAGGTCCATGTTCAGTACAGATGCTTTTTTTTCCTTTGAGATAGGGGCTCTCTCATATAGCCCAGGCTGGTTTCTAACTCTGTGCAGCTGAGAGTGATTTTGAACATTGGATCCTTCTGTCCCCACCTCTTTAGTGCTGAGATTACAGCATACCCCCAAGCCAGTTCATGTGGTGCTGGGGATCAAACTTAGGTCTTCATGCATGCTAGGAAAGCACTCTGTTAGTGAGCTATATCACCAGGTCCTAGATGTATTTTTCCCTTAAATATTTTCCGTATGTGATTGGTTGAATTTGCATATCTAGAACCCTGGGATATGGAAGGCCAACTGTACTACTTAATCTAACCACTGGATTTTTGGTGTAATTCCATAGTCAGTCAATACCATAATCTCTTGGGGAAGTTAAAAAAAAATGCAGGCTTCATACGTAGATATTCTGAGTCAGTAGGCCTGGAGTCCTGGAACCAGTGCTGTAAGAAAACTGTACATGAGGAGTTACCAGGTCCCCCCCACCCCCATAATTACCAGAAAGAAGAAATAGATAAGCCAGGCCCTAGTACCGGCTTGTCTCTTGCAGAGCGCCATCTTTTTCCTTTTGCTGTTCTGTGCTATTAATCATTCTGTCCCAGGAGAGGACATAAGCATTTTAAGGCTCTGAAAACAAATACTGAAGGATGTAATTATTAATTATTTTTGTTTTAATCAGCAGTACAGTAGAGATTGGTAGAGTAGCTGTGCAGCTGGTGGGGGGACCATGTATTGTGCATTAAACCAGTGCCAGTTTCTTGACCTTGGATGCTCATGGATGTCTAAGGCAGGCTGGATGTTCCTAAGAGACATTTAAGGCCATCTCATTGTGAGAGACAGCTTCCAAAGCCTCTGGCCATGGCAGTAACCGTGCAGTCAGGCTCTCTGTCTGGGAAGGCGGTATATGGCTTTGCAGCTCAGTTCCCTTTGGTGACTAGCTTCAGTGTGTACCTGTCTCTCATTTCAGTCTTTTCATAATCTAGTCACTAGCTGGCCAATCAGGGGCCTACTTTGGAACTATAGACCAGAGCAGACTTTGAGAGGTATGTAACTGCATTACAAACTTTGTTTTGGTTGGCTTACAAAATGGAGGACTAAATGAATAGTTTTAAAAAATTATTTATTTTATATGTATGAGTGTTTTGCCTGCATGTATGTAAGTGCACCATGTTCACACAATGGCAGAATAGGTCAGCAGAGGGTGTCGAATCCCCTGGAACTGGAGTTACTGACTGTTGTTAGTCATCATGTGGGTGCTGGGAATTGAATCTAGGTCCTCTGGATGAGCAGCCAGTGCTCTTACCTGCTGAGCCATCTCTCCAGCCCCCAAATGAATATTTTAATCATCATTTTGAGTTTAGCTACTTCTAAATAATCAAAGGAATAAATTCTTAATTATAATTAATGTTTTGATGTTAGAACTATAAAGATCACTAACCTAATTATATATGTAGAATCAATGTCCTGTATTGTATTCAGGACACCTGACAATGTTTTTTAGTAAGCATCATCATAGACTCTTCATAGCCTAATGAAAAAAATGTATAGTAAAGTTAAAGGAGTGTAGTTTATTACTTATTTATACAGTACAATGGTATATACTTTATCACGTCTTGTATTAATACATATAAATGATTGGTACAGTTTAATTTTGAATCCTCTCTATAATGATGGAAATCATTATTTTTACTTATTTTTTTGACTGTTTGAAATAGAATCTCACCATGTTGTCTGGGCTGACCTGGAACTTGCTAAGTACCCCAGGCTAGTCTCCATCTCACAGCAGTCCTCCTGCCTCTGTCTCCCAAGAGCTAGGGTTGCAGGAGTATACCACCATGTCTAGCAGAGCCTGTGAATTTATTTCATAGATTTAGTCACTATAGAACTTCAGAGGCAGTAGAAGACCTTAGATGAATATTAACTACATAAAGTTTGAAAAAGTAAAAATACAGGACTGGAGAGATGGCCCCATGGTTTAAGAGCATTGGCTGCTCTTGCAGAGGACTTGGGTTCAGTTCCCATCACCCATTGCATGACATGGGTGTACTTACATACATATAGGCAGTATACTCATACACATTAAATAAAAATAATACGTAAAATATTTTTTTAAAAGTAAACTTGATCACAAAAATATCTGCATTGTATTTCTATAAATAAATCATTTGTATGACACAAAACAGTTCTGTTCCAAGCTCACTGCCGTAAGGCTGGGGTTGGGTTAAGCCGTGTTCTGTACTTTTTACTGTGAAAATCTAGGTGTAAATTAGTTAATCTGATTTTTCAATTTTAGTTTATCTTTGTCTTTTCAGACCGAATCCCTCTGTGGAACTTCTAAACATCTTTTATTAGCGAAGACGTTTCCTACAGGATGAAATCAACTTAATTTGGACAGGTATTGCTGTGACTCTGGTTTTTCTGCTATGCTCTCCAACCTTGCGGTCTGAGGAGCGTGGGGCTATTGTGATGACAATATGACTTATAGTAAAGGAAGCTCTCTTACGGATGAAGCAAGTGGCAGTCCAGATTTCGGAGGAGGTTTTGCAGATTGGACTTTAAATTTAAAAACAATTCAATCTGATAAGTTTTTAAACTTCCTGTTAAGTATGGTTCCAGTCATCTACCAGAAAAACCAAGAAGACAGGCACAAAAAGGCAAATGGCATTTGGCAGGATGGATTGTCAAGTGCAGCACAGACCTTCAATAACAGAACTGAGCAACACCTGGACTATCACGATTTCTCAGAGCAGGCTTTCCACGGCAGCAGTGGGCACGCACCATCAAGCTGCAGCCCCAGGTACGATGACTATGCCAACTATAACTATTGTGATGGAAGAGAGACTTCAGAAACCACTGCCATGTTACAGGATGAAGATCTGTCCAGTGAGGAGGAGGATGTTATTGTGGAAACAAACCAAAAATTGCCAAAGGAGTCTAGTGGCATCATGGCATTGCAAATACTTGTGCCATTTTTGCTTGCTGGTTTTGGAACAGTTTCAGCTGGCATGGTTTTGGATATAGTACAGGTGAGTTTTCATCTTTAACTCTGTGTGTGTGTGTGTGTGTGTGTGTGTGTGTGTGTGTTTGTATACATGTGCATGTGGAGGCCAGATGTCAACCTAGGGTATCATTCTTAGCTGCTTTCCATCTTGTTTTATGACACAAGGTCTCTCACTTACCTGGCACTCACTGGCTTGGCTAGGCTGGCTGGCCAGAGAGCTCCGAGGATCTGCCTGTCTCTGCCTCCCCAGCTTTGGGATGATGAGGGTGCCACCATGGCTGGCTGTTATGTAGGTTCTGGGGATTGAACTCAAGTCCTCATGCTTGTGCAGCAAGCCCTTACTGATTGAGCCATCTCCCCAGCCCCTTCCTCCCTTCCTCGCTTCCTTTCTTTTGCTTTGTTTTTTCTCTCTCTTCCGCCTTCCCTCTCATATTGTCTTTCAGTGGGATCTCACTATGTAGCCCAGGCTGGCCTTGAACTTGGAGTCTTCTGCCTCAGCCTCTCAAGTGCTGGGATTCCAGGTGTGCCACCACACCTGGCTGGGCTTCATTGTCTCCCTCCCCCACACTATTGCATTCATAATTAAAATGTTTTACATAGGCTGCAATTCTCAAGCATTTATCTTTGCAGTGCTGGGAATAAAACTCAGGGTTTCACGTATGGTGGGGAGGACTGAGCTTTAACAGTGTTTTGTATTTAATTTATTCCTTTGTGAAGAGAATGACTCTGTAGAAAAATGTATTTTTTTCTGGGTGGGTTTTATCTATTTCAGAAGTCATAAAGAAATAATCAGTCTTTCTTTTTTTCATGCTGCACATTAAACTCAGTTATTCCAAATAAAGCAGCTGTTTACTACAAACCCCAGAATAAGGCAGGTAAAAGAAAAGCCAAATAAGTAGTACATTTAAATATTTTACCTTAAAATAAGAACTATTATGTGCCTACTAACACGAATTCAAACAATATAGTATTAAAACATGGAGATGATCTATTCCTCATCTCTAAACCTAAATTCCTCTTCATCTTTTTAAAGATAGCTTTTTATTTATATGTTTGTGTCTGTGCATGCCACATGTGTGTGGGTACGTTTGGAGACCAGAGGAGGGCACTGTATTCCCTGGAGCTGGAGTTATAAGAGCTACAAACTGCGTCGTGGGTGCTGGGAACCAATCGCCAGTCCTCAGAAAGAGCAGCAAGCGCTCTTAACACTGAGCCATCTCTCCAGTCCTTCTTCGTCTTCATCTTCTTCTATCACCTCCTCCACCTCTGCTTCTGCCTCCTCCTGTGTGCAGTGCTGGAGATTGGGTCCATGATCTTTCACATACTAGGCAGGGGCCTTACCACTGAGTTACACCCTCAGCTCATGTTCAGTGCTTAAAAAAATTTTTTTTTATTGGGCTGGAGAGATGACTCAGTGCTTAAGAGCACTGGCTGCTCATGCAGAAGACCCGGGTTCAAATCCTAGCACCCACATGACTGCTAACAGCTGTCCATACCTCCAGTTCCAAGGAATCTGACACCATCCTTTGACCTCTGGGAGCAACGCATGATGCAGTTGCACTTACATACATGCAGGTAGTACACATACTCATAAAATAAATAATAAATAAAAATATTTTAAAAACTAATGCACATAAAATAAAAAAGAGAAATGACCACACCTCTGAATGTTTTTTTACATTTATTTATTTTGTGTGTTTCTGCATTTGTGTGCCCCTATGCCACCGTGCATGTGTGGGTGTCAGAGGACATCTTGCCAGATTCAGTTCTCTCCTTCCACTATATTTATTGGTTCTGGGGATAGAAGTCTGGTCATCAGGCTTGGTGACAAGAACCTTTACCGACCTAGCCAGTGGTATTTATTTATTTAGAAACAGCGTCTCCCTTTAGACCCAGGTGGCCTGGAACTCCCTATGCAAACCAGGCTGGCCTCAATCTCCCAGAGATCCACCTGCCTTTGCCTCCCAAGTGCTGGGATTAAAGGCATGCACCACCACCCCCAGCTTTAGATTTATTTAGTTATTTCAATATGTTTATTTTTATTATTTTTATTTTATGTGTATGGGTGTATTGCCTGCATGCACATAAGTGCATCCATATTGTGCAATGCCCACAGAGGTCAGATGAGGGCATCGAATCCCCTGGAACTGGAGTTATGGACAGTTGTTACCTGCCATGTGGGTGCTGGGAATTGAACCCAAGTCCCCTGCAAGAGCAGTCGTTACTCTTAACCACTAAACCATCTCTCTAGCCCCTATTTATTTTTATTTTATATGAATGAGTATTTTGCCTACATGTATGTAAGTGCACTCATGTAGTCAATACTCATGGAAGTCAGAAGAGGGTATCAGATCCCTTGGAACTAGAATTATGGACAATTGTTAGCTGCCATGTGAGTGCTTGGAACAGAACCCATGTCTTCTGCAAGAGCAGCCAGTGCTCTTAACCATCGAGCCCCAGCCAGCAGTTTTTAAAATTAATTAATTAAATTTATTTTATGTATATGAGTGTTTTGCCTGCATGTATGTAAGTGTACCCAAGCATGCAGTACCTGTGGAGGCCAGAAGAGGGTGCTGAATCCCCTAGAACTGGAGCTGCAGGTGGTTTTTAGCAGCCATGTGGGTGCTTGGAACCTCACCTTGGTGATGAGCTATCTCTCTGGGTCCAGCCAGTGTTTGTTTTTTTTTTTTTTTTAATTAACGAGCATTCTTAGTTAACTTGAACCCTGAATGGATTTTCCTTATGAATTCCTTGAATTTGAGGAAGACCAATCTGATATCTAAAATCCGCTTTAGGCCTGAGTTCTACCTTTATTCAACCTCTAGAGAAACTTGGGGAACAAATGGACGTGTATTTTGTTTGTTTGCTTTTTTAATTTTTATTATTTTTTATTTTATGTGTTGTGAGTGTATTGCCTGCATGTGTTTAAGTGCACCTGTGTCATGCAGTGCCTACAGAGGTCAGAAGAGGGCATTGGATTCCCCTGTAACTGGAGTTACAGGTGGTTGTTAGCTGCCATGTGGGTGTTGGGGATCAAACCTGGGTCCTCTACAAGAGCAGCCAATGCTCTTAACCCCTGAGCCATCTCTCCAGCCCCTTGTTTGCTTGTTTATCTGATGGATTTAAGTTCTGTTTTTCTCACCTATCTTAGTGACAAGACTTGTGTTCTTTTTGGCATGAAGTTGATAGTCTCGTTCATGAAGTTTCTTAATGAGGCAATCCCATTTTTAGCATTTATTAAATATCACTTTGTATTATTCAGTATTTGTAGGGTCTTTTCATTTTAGAAAGCAATTTCCTATCTGCTAACTTCATTATGGTAGTTCTCTGTGGGCCATTTATCCTGGTGTCTAAAGACTAGCCAGGCAGATAGTATCTTCATTTCATAGGTGAAGATGAAAGATAATGTGACTCAGAAGCACAGCCAGCTGACAGATTCATTCCTAGAGGCACAAATTTAAAAAAATATATTTATTTTTATTTTATGTGTATGCGTGTATTGCCTGCATATAGGTAAGTGCACCCATGTCGTGCAGTGCCTGCAGATGTCAGAAGAGGCTGTCGGATCCCCTGGGACTAGAGTTACGGACAGTTGTTAGCTGCCATGTGGGTGCTGGGATTCAAACCCTGGTCTTCTGCAAGAACAGCCAGTGTTCTAAACTGCTGAGCCACCTCTCCAGCCCCTAGAGGCACAAATTTTATTTCCACCAAAGCATGGTGGCACATGCCTGTAATTCTAGCACCTGGTGGAAGCTGAGTCAGGAGCACTGTGAGTTTGCAATCAACCCAGGCTGTTCTGTAGCCAGTTCCAGATTAGCCTGAGCTACAAAGTGAAACCCTATCTCAGAAAAAATTATTTCCAGTTTGGTGGTGGTTTTAGAACATGGGACTGGTAATAACTTCTGAGGTGAACTCTACATTTCATATTTTAACCTTTTATTGTACCTCTTTGAATCTTTATTTTCTCATTTGAAAAATTAGATAATAACAGTAGGTAATTTTCTTGTGATATTGTAATTAGTGTTGAAACTGAGATTCATATCCAGATGATCTGGCTCCACAGTTTGTGTTCTTAACCATTAATCACATTAACTCTCACCACCATGAAATGATAAAGTAATTGGGTGTAGTGTGCAGGCCTGTCACCCAGCATTTGGGAGGCAGAGGCATGAGGTCCAGGAGTTTGAGGCTTGCCTAGGCTACATGGTGAGTTACTGGCCGGCTTGAGCTATCTCAACAACTCAGGGGCTGGTGGTGTAGCTCAATGGTTGAACACTTGCGCAGCATGTGCAAGGCTGTGGGTTTAATGTCGAGTACTGACACAGAGAAAAAAATGTGATACAGAACATTTTGGGAGCTACAGGGTTGTGTAGCAATGCTAGATGTCGAACGGGATATGGTGGCTGTCCTAGGTCACTCCCAATTCCAGCATCTAAAGTAACTCAGATTCGGAGCTCAGGAGGGTGAGGTGAAGCTAAATGCTCACTGATTAAATGACTGTGTTGTCCTTTTTTTTTGGCGGGGGGTAGCCCCAGCTGACTTGGAATTCACTATGTAAACCAGGCTGGCCTTGAACTCACAGAGAGCCGCCTGCCTCCTGAATGCTGGGATTAAAGGCGTGGGCCACCATGCCCATCAACTGTGTTGTCCTTTAAAACACAAAAGCAAAGCCAGGCAATGATGGTACCTTCCTTTATCTTGAGAGGCGCAGGCAAGCAGAGCTCTCTGAATTGGAGGCTAGCCTGGTCTACGTAGTAACACGCTGGCTCAACAACAGCAATAACAGAGAAACAAAGTTGGGGGAAAACCCTAAGGCTTGTTCTAAAGTGTCTTTAACAAGTGTTGGCATTTATTTATTTATTTATTCATTTTTATTTATTTTACAGCACTGGGAGGTGTTCAAAAATGTAACAGAAGTTTTCATTTTAGTTCCTGCACTTCTTGGTCTCAAAGGGAATTTGGAAATGACGTTGGCGTCCAGATTATCCACTGCAGTAAGTTTCTCTGTTCCTCACATTATGTGCATTACTTATTCCTCTCTACTTAGAAGATCTTGTGTCCGGTAAATGTTTTTCTCTATTTGGGGAGTGTCTGGACTTCAGAGTTATGCTAGATAGATTTGGCTGACACGATTCCCTGAAAGTTCTCTGAGAACACGGAGCTTCCTTTACCACCAGGAGAGATGCTATATTTGCCTCGTTAGAAGCCAGGCCATTCCAGCAGTCGTTAGCGGTGTGCAATGCACAGGTAAGTCGGATACTAGGTGTCTTCATGGTGCTATGTTTGGCCGAATAGTATTTAAACTTTTTGTGATTATAAAAGCAATACATGCTTGTTATAAAAATAAGAGGAAAGGTATAAGGAAGAAAATCTAAAACTACCCCTATTTCTCCACATAGCTATAACAATGGATGATATTTTGATATGGATGCTTCTATTGGTTGAAAATGTAGTTCAGTCGTAAAACACTTACCTGGTATGTACACGGTTTGGGTCCGAGCTCCGCTAACACACACACACACACACACACATACAAACACACAAGAAATATTCTTTTATACTTGAATTCCTATACTTAGGTATAGTTAGGTATGTCATAACGTACTCTTAAAGACACAACTGGAATCATATATTTTCATTTACAACCTGTGACACATTAAAAAATATATAATGATCATCTTCCATGTCAATGGATCCATATTACTGGTTTTGTATTTGGATATATACTTTTATATTGTAGAATTTTATAGCTTGATTTATATCTATTACTGTGTATATAAATACTTTTAAATGTTTTATCATTATAAAAGATATTATGAATATTCTTTTTTATTTTTTGAGACAGGGCCTCACTATGTAGTTCTGACTGACCTGGAACTTTCTATATAGACCAGACTGGCCAGACCAGGCTAGACCAGGCAGAACAGAGATCTGCCTGCTTTTGCTTCCTGAATGCTGGGATTAAAGGCATTTGCCACCAGGTCCAGCTATGAATATTCTTTTTTAAAAATTTTTATTTATTTATTTATTTTATTTTATGTGTATGTGTGTATTGCCTGCATGTAGGTAAGTGCACCTGTGTTGTGCAGTGCCCGTGGAGGTCAGAAGAGGCTGTTGGATCCCCTGGGACTGGAGTTATGGACAGCTGTTAGCTGCCATGTGGGTGCTGGGATTTGAACCCAGGTCTTCTGCAAGAACAGCCAGTGTTCTTAACTGCTGAGCCATCTCTCCAGCCCCTGAATATTCTTATAAATGCATTTTTTGCTTTTTCATTTCTTTAAGGCATTCTAGGATTCTGGAAAAAAAAATCTATACTTTAAAATCTTTAGCTACCTGTAGCTAAATTGTCATTCAAAGAGTTAAAAAGTTTAATAGCTCTGAAAATGCTGCCACTATTAGGGTTTTGAGTTACTTTTAGAGGCTTAAAATCATTCTTTTACTGTAGCATTCTTGTGGGATTCACCATTGTGAAATTAAGTTATGCTCAAAACACAGCAGTGCTGGTGAGGGCCGCTGTAGTCAGCAGTCTGCTCACTGAGTGTTAGTCACAAGGAAGTCAGACAGTGTGACTCATGTCGAAAATTTTGTTTTTGTCTTGAATAAAGCTAGAGCAAATCCATCTGTGAATTGGGAAATTTATTTGTGTAAGATAACCAAGCAGTGGGAGTTGAGCAGCTGTCCTGTTATGGCAGTCACTCTCTTTTAAGGTGTATTTTATTGTTATTTTATTTTTGTTTTATGTGTATGAGTGCGTTGCCTGCGTGTATGTAAGTACACCTGTGTTGTGCAATGCCTGAAGAGGCAGAGGAAGGTGTTGGATTCCACTGGAACTAGAATTACAGACAGTTGTTAGCTGTCATGAACTCAGGTCCCTCCAGCCCCCAACACCACACACTTTCCCACTTCCTATGCAGCTATGAGTTCCTTAAGGTTTACTAAGCAAAGCAGATACTTAGAAAGGAAATGCATCATTTAATGTTTCATTAACATTTTAAATTTTTTTCTCAATTAATTGGAAGCGTTTCATGTACCCTTTGAAACTTTCTAAGCCTCTTCCTTATAAATAAAAGGTCAGCTAGCCATACTATATACAGGACAATAGTGAAATGTCTGGTTTTAGCGAGCTTTTACCATTTGTGTTCTGCAGAGGAACTAAAGCTTAGAATGGTTAAGTAACTTTCCAGAGGTCATACAGATTGTGTGTAATGAAATACGTCATATTCTAGAACATGTCTTTTACCTTTACAAGAAAGCTGTGTCTCAGTTTATAAATCCAGTGAATAATCAGCAACACAAACCTAACAGCCTGCTCATATACCTCGCCAGAATTAATGTCCTGGTCTTAGCACCAGTACGCAATACTTTAGGTACTTAATATTTAAAAAATCTTTTAGTGTTCATTGTTAAAATGATTGACAAATATCGTCATGTTGCTTTTTCCTGTAGCTTAGTGGGGTGTTCAAGATGATGTCTAAGGATATCAGCCAGCCTCTCTCATAGAGTACAATAGCCTGTAATCCAGCTTGTAATCATGGAAGTTGTTGAATAATAAAGTAACTGGGAGATAGTAGCAGCCTCCTGGGCTAGTCAGGAAAGAGCAAAACAAACCTGGACTTAAAAAAATACACAAAGGGAAAGTGATAAAAAGATAGAGGGGGCTGATGTGGTGGAATATGCCATTAATCCCAGTACTCCGGGAGCGAGAGGCAGGCAGATCTCTGAGACTGAATACAGCCTGGTCTTCATAGGGAGTTCCAGGCAAGCTGGGGCTACACAGAGACCCTGTCTCAAAAAAGACAAAAGGAAGGGAGGGAGGGAGGGAGGGAGGGAAAGAAAGAAAGAAAGAAAGAGGGAGGGAGGAAGGAAGGAAGGAAGGAAGGAAGGAAGGAAGGAAGGAAGGAAGGAAGGACAGAAGGAAAAGATATAAGGGTAACATACTGGCCAGATCCAGCACACTTTGTCCCATAATACAATGATGGCCTATGGGATGAACAATCCACTAGAGTGTAAGTGAATGACATGCTGGCATAGAACTGATGTCAGTGATTTCAGATATCAGCAGTAGGGAAGTGAATACAATATAGCATGTGGTGAAGGATGATTCACAGGACTGTTTTAGATTGCATCTGTAGAGAAGACTTCTGAGGAGGTGATTTGTAACCTGGAGCATGAGTCAACCATATCAGACTCTGAGAAGACCATTCTGGAATACTCCTATCTAATCAATGCAATACTGTCAATCTTTTATAAGCATTCTAGACAGGTCTTCTTTAACAGTTGGGCTTGGAGCAGGAGTACGAATGGAGACTCATATAGCATATACTTATTTGCATAATTTAAGTTTATACAAACTTTCAATCTTAAAAAACAACTCCTAAGATCTGGTAGTCCAACATCAAATTTAGAGTTTTTGATTTTTCTTGGGTTCTGTTTTGGAACATCATATAGTGGAGAGGTTCAGACACTGGTCTGAGGTTTGCCGCTCCCATTCTGGTCTTTGGCTTTCCATTCTGTACTTTGAGAGACTATGGCATTCAGAGGCTAAGGCATGAGGATTGTCATGAGATTGAGGTCTGTCAGGGCTACATAGCAGGACCTCATCACAAAACAATACAAAACACAACCAAGATAGAGCCAGCACGGTGGTGGGCCTCTGTAATCCTGGCACTTGGGAGGCTGTAGCAGGTTGATCATGAGTTTGAAGTCAGCTTAGGCTACAGGGCAGGTTCCAGTCCAATCTGGCTATGTCAAGAAGCCAAGTTTCAGAAACCCAATCAAGCATACACCATCATCACCCAACCACAGTACCATAACCAAGATGAAAGAGAAGCTGTACATTTAACAGGATTGATTGAACAAAAGATCTGTAATATATTCAGCAGTAGCAATACTGGTGTCTATAGCACAGTCATTTCAGAGAAAGCAGTTCTTTTTCTGGAACCTTCTGAAATAACTAATCATGTACTTTGACAAGGATGAGTATTTTTTTCATGGTATATGCCAATTAAATTCTATAATTCTACTCTTGAAAAGAAGCTGAAATTGGCCTGAAGCTGACATGAAGAGAGAAATTCATTACGCGCACACACATACACACACACACACACACACACACTCTTCCACTTACATTGCATTGTTATACTTTCAAACTCAAGGTTTAAGAATAAAGTTTTCTCAAGTAATAATGTGAAACAATAAATGTATTTAAAAATCTTTTTAAAAATATTTATTTATTATTATCTTATGTGTATGTGTGTATTGCCTGTATGTAGGTAAGTGCACCCGTGTCATGCAGTGCCCACGGAGGACAGAAGAGGCTGTTGGATCCCCTGGAACTGGAACTATGGACAGTTGTTAGCTGCCATGTAGGTGCTGGGATTCGAACCTGGGTCTTCTGCAAGAACAACCAGTGTTCTTAATCACTGAGCCATCTCTCTAGCCCCCTTGGCTTAGCAGTTAAGAGCACTGTCTGCTCTTGCAGAGAACCTGGGTTCTATTCCCAGCACCCACATGGTAGTGGCTAACAACTGTCCATAATTCCAGTTCCAGGAAAATCTGACCTCTGACCTCTGCAGGAATTGCAGGACATGGGTGCATTTACATACCTACAGGCAATACACTTATAAAATAAAAATAATAAATAAAATTTAAAAATAGCTGAAAAGATAGCTCAATGGGTAAAATGCTTGCCTTTTAAGCATGGGGATCTGAGTACGATCCCCAGAACCTGTTTTTGTTTTGTTTTTTTCTAAAAGATGCCAGAGGTGGTGGTGCAGGTTTGTAATCTCAGCACTGGGGAGGCAGGGATAGGAGGATTCCTGAGTCTTGCTGGTCAGTCAGCCCAACCTATTTGATCAGTTCCTGGCCAGTGAGAGACCTGTCTTCAAAACAAAGTGGATGATTCATGAGAAATGACACCCAAGGTTGTCTCCTTATCTCCACATGTACATGTACACATGTGTGTGAGCACCTGCACACTTACATGCACCTGCAC